AATCTCTTGAACTTGTCTTTTTTTCTGATGTTGATTCTTCACGTTCATGTGATTTACTTGAACGTTCTTCTTTTGATCTATGTTTTTCTGATTGTTCATGATCTTTACGATCTCGACTACGTGGTGGTGGTTCTTCATTTTCATTTGTTTCACCTAAACTTTGTAAAGTTTTTCGAACAACTTCATTATTATCAACATGTGAATGAATTGCTTCAGCAAGAGCTTGTAATAAAAGATTTGTTTTATCCGCTTCTTGACCAGCTAAAATTTTCGAAACACGTACATCAGGTGGTCTTTTAACGGCAATATCTAAAGTAAATAATCAAAAGTTTTTTTTTTTCTATGTCATTTTCAATTAATTTTGTACTTACAAACAGCAGTAACAAGTTTTTTCATGAATAATGTTTTACTATCACGACCTTCTTTAAGATAGGCTACTGAAAGTTCTTCATCTGAATATAATCCTTGCAGAAAATTTGTTTTTTTAATAACCTAAATCATTTTTTATTTGAAGAGAATAAGCAAAAAAAAAGACTATATAAATAATTAACATACTGCTTTAACAATATCTTGCAGAAATTGTACCGGTGGTCGATTGAGAAGTTTATCGGTCAATGCTGGTGCATTAATTATTTGACCAAGAGTGTCTTGAGTACGTTTGATAATATCTGAATCAACAGGAGCTTCACTCATTTTTTTAATGTTATGTAAAATATTTGAACTGAAATGTTCAAATTTTTTTTTTCACACCATGAAATGATCGCATTCCTCAACTGTCGCTTAGTAACTGATATTTATTTAGTTTTATATAAGAAGAATCAGATGTCACTACAAATCATTTATTAGTTTATGTAAAAACAAGAAAAAAAGCTGCATACTAATCAATGAAATTATTCTTGTTAGAGTTAATTGCATGATTCTCATTCAGTTTCATAACTTGCAATAGTAATTTCACAATTAATTCATTCTCTAGTCATACTTTTTTTTTCATATGCTTGATATGCACAGACTTCAAGATGTATCCATATCATATGATTTCCCTTCCATAGACTGGAGTTTGAATGTTTGTATGATTAATACACAGATGTTGAACAACTCATTGTGCAAACTTCATAGAAATCATACGAATAGGCATAATTAAAACGATCAATTGGAATAAAATAACCATATATTTTCTACTCAATATGAAATAATATTCCTTGCCTTTAAGAATGTCTAGATCTAATTACCCATGTAGATTACCTTTTTGTTCGGCTTGCTATAGTTTTTGTTATTTAAAATATGAGTTTCTATTAAGAATCGAATTATTTTAAACATAAAACTGAAATAATAAAGCCGAAAAATTTTATAAATCACAAGAAATTACAACTGACAAATTCCAGCTGCAATCATCATGAAGCTTTACATTTTTCATTTTATGTTTTACTGAACAGACACTTTTTTGTGCATTATCTAATATATTGAATCAATTGCTTCTCATTGTGGCCTGATCTTCAATATGAAATCTAACACAAAATTAAGAAATGCAGTTGGTCAAAAACTTCATTCAGAATTAATTCGACTTCGAAAGATGATTTAACTTTAATCCACCAATCCTGCAGTATCTCAATTCAATCAATGACAAATACCATAGTGATACCCAAGGGCCATAGATGATTATAAGAGATATTGACAGCATCCTTGTTCCTCTTTCCAGAAATCTACCAAACTTTCAGAGTTTTGTTTTAGATTAGCAGATTTACGAGTTTCCTTCTACAAAAAAAACAAATGAACTCTTGAATTTCTTAGAGTGAATTGTATTGGCCTGCCCGTTACAAACTTTGTTATTTAAGCTATGAATTTTTATAATGAGTCGAATCATTTTGAATATAAAACTGAAAAAAAGAAACAAACGAAATGGACATATAAAATATAATTAAAATTAGTGTCACATATCACAGATATCGTTTTCATAATTGTGAAAGATGATCAGATCCAATGGAGTATTTCTATCGCTAGCTTGCGATGAAGGCAGACTTTTGTTATTAATCTGTATAGCTCATAATGTTTGCCATAAAGTAGTATTTCATTTGTAGTCACCCATCTACACACTTGAATAAGAATGTTAAGTAATGGAATAAGCAGTTCAAGCATCTGAGCTTGCCAAAAGACTTCAAGTTTTGTCTCAAGATACTCTAGAACTTCATGAGCATGAAAAACAAAAAGTTCAACTCGAGAAGTTCGGATAAATGCTTGATCAATCTGAATGATTTTTTTGTAATAAGTGATCATCTTTGAATATTATTAAACAGATTTATTTTAATGAAATTACATCAAATCCATAACAAAGAAATTTTTTAAATTTATTGAAATGATTCGTAGACTAGTCTGAAAATATTTTATTGAAATGTATAAACATTTTTTATTTTCAATTTTTCTTTTTATATGATCCTTCAATAGTTAATAACCAGGCTTTTTTCATTATTCTTTTCTTCTTCTCAGATTTATCTCATGAAAAAAGAGATTTGTCTTTAAAATAATCTACATATTATTTTTCTATTAGAATATCATATTTCTGATGAATTATACCAGAGGCCGGAAAAAAAAATAATTAATTGACTGACTTTTTTATTAATACGATTAACATAGACACTTTAAAAATTATCTTGTCTTTTCTAATATTAAATCGACAAAATTGTCTTTAGAATAATACAGTTATCAAATATCAAAGTAGTTGTACTACTAATCATTAATTAATATTCAAAAAAAAAAAAATTTCCTAAATAGCTAAAAGTCAAAAGATAATCAAGTATTAATTACACAATTCAAAACAAAAAATTTTAACCGGATATGAGAGAATATTACCTAAGGATTGTTAAAACTATATGACTGAAATTTAAAATAATAAAAAGAAAAAACCATTCTCTTACTACAACATACCTTCAAGCAATACTCTTTTATATATGACCGGAAAAAGAATGATGATATGTTTAGAAATGTTTAATCATGTTAAAAGAATAACTCATTTATCAATTGAAAAAAAAAAGTAATATTGATAAAAATTCAACTGAATGAAATATTAATCTATCTATTTATCTCTAATTTGATATTTGACCTTTTTCATTCTTTTTTTTCTTCTGTACCTTCACATATGTCTCTTTTGTTTTTTATTTAACATCATCAACTAAGGTAGTGTTGACATGTGCATCTACATATCGATTCAATGAGCAGAACAGCAGTTTGATAAATTGATGTTTACCTTATATATATATATATTGAAACTCTGTATTCGCATATCGTTCCTGAATGTCTAATTGTTAGAACATGTTTAAATTATCGTCTTAAAATGATAAACGAAGATGATTTTTTTTTTCGATTTCCATTTTGTATATATAGGAAATGATTCGCAACTGACAGTCGTTATCAGTCAGACAGGCTGATTATAAGACCTAGTACATCATATCTAAGTTTAATGATCGATGACGAAATGTAAAAAAAATAAGAAAAAACCAATTCTTTTTTTTCTTTATTTTATTGTGACAATGATCATTTAATCTAAGTATAAAAGAAATAATACTTGAGCTTTTGATCAAACAATCTATGATGGGTGTCGAATCCGGTGCGAAAAGGTTGTCCTCCCTTCTTCTTCGTTATATTTGCTTTTTCTGAGTAAGTGAGTGGCTATGTGTATATATGTATGTGTCAACTTAGTTTTCTTTTCAATGTGTAATTTAATAATGACAGTCAATTAATCCTGTCCGGTCTCTTTTCAATATTGATCGTCATGTTTTCAAAAAAAAAAAGAAAAATAATAATAAGCAGAAAGAGAAAAGAGATTTTTCTTGTTATTTGTCTGATAATGTTATTGTTTTGTATATTTTTTGAATAAATCAATTGTGTGTATATAAGACGACGTTTATCATATCAAAAGACAAGAATGAAGACACGAAACTGATCTGTAGAGAATTAAATAGACAATACAATAATAACAATATTATAACCAAAGAAATTTGATGCTTTCATGTATGTGTATATATAATGATAAAAAAAAAGAAAATCTATCTGCCGCATTTTCTTGATCATTATTGAAATTGAAATATTGTATGTAAGAGAAATAGAGAAGAGAAGAGAGAGAAAGAAAAAAAAATAATAGACGGAAGCATCTTCAATTATGAAATCATTGCTACGTCGCCCATCATTACAGTTCGATGGTGCGTTACTTGTAGACTGACTATGATTGATTAATAATCGACTGTTTTGCCTACGTCAGCAGGTGCTATTATTTTCCTACTTAATCATACATTTGTAGCCCCGAAGTCAAGCTTATCAATATACACAGATTACATCGTTCGATGAGTTTCTTTTGTAAAAGGCAAAGAAAAAAATGATGATAAGAAGAAGAAGAAGAAGAAGAAGGAAAAATCTTAGTCAACAAGACTCTTCTTGTTGTTGTCATTGACATAAAGATGCTTTATATGTTGGTCATATTTCATTTAAAGTAAAAGCAAAGAGAGAAAAAAAAGCACTAACGATTTCCGCTTTTTTTTCATAGTCTCTCATTCTTTTTTCTCTCTTCTTTCTTTTTTTTTCTTTATTTCTTTTACTTGCCTTCTTTTATTTCATCTATTTATGTCTCATTGGTAGATGAGAAAAAAAGAAATATATATATTTATATATATTTCTCTTTCGCTCGACGTCTTCAACTAGCACCAATCAGTGCGTTCGACCAGTCAGAATAAATGGAAAGAAAAGAAATATTTACTTATCTTTTCTTCTTTTATATATACATCATTTCATAGGTCATTGATTTGTAAAAAGACCGTTGCTGGCCACATTTATCGTCATTATTTCTTCTTTTTCTTTTTCTCTTTTTCACAGCCTTGTAACTTGATTCAATCAACACACATTATCCTAGTGTATGTGTATACGAAGATTTGCATAAGCAAGCGACAAACGAGTATATCTCAATATTCACTACTTATAAAGACAAAAAAAAAAGAAAAGAAAAAGACATGCGCATCATGTCACAAGAACATAGTCCAACAGGCGATAGTGATTCTTCAACAAGTGTATTATCAACAACTGGTTTATCGCCACCACGTAATTCAATTTTACAAGGAAAACACTATGAACAGGAACATGATTGTCGTGCAAGTATATGTTCTCAACATTCATCATGTTCAATGAAATTTGAAAAGACAACTTATGAATCTGCACCTGTTGCACGTAATACACCAGAAAATAATCAAGTAAGATTAATTGATTATCGTGGAACAAAATTAACAGCATTTAATGTTGATGGTCGAGAATTAATATGTTTACCACAAGCATTTGATTTATTTTTAAAAAATTTAGTTGGTGGTTTACATACAGTTTATACAAAATTAAAACGTTTAGAAATTATACCTGTTGTATGTAATGTTGAACAAGTACGTATTTTACGTGGTCTTGGTGCCATACAACCAGGTGTTAATCGATGTAAACTTCTTGCGCCAGCCGAATTTGATGTATTATATGAAGATTGTACAAATTCAGGGTAAGGCAAAAAAAAAGCAAAATAATTATTAACATAAATATAAAGAAAAAAATTGTTTAAGAGAGAGAGAGAGAGAGCGATTTCAATCTGTCAAAATTTGTAATATGAGAATGTTTATTTGAAAACAAAAAAAAGAAAACATTTTAACTTTGAAGAGATGTTCTCAAATAGACATTTTGAAGAGGATGTTTAATCATATGAAAATATCTTTTTGAACAAAAAGAAAGCATATCGAATAGTTATTTATTTATTAATTAAAATAAATGAAGAGAGATATCTTTTTTTCTTTTCTATTTTGTGTGCTTTAGTTCTCGGCCAGGTCGACCTCCAAAACGTAATTCAGCACATCAAATAGATGATTGTTTAGATGATAAACGTATTAAATTATCATCAAGTTTTTTACTTCGTTCATTTCCTGATTTTACAAATCAAAGTAAAAATTAAAATTCCCAAAACAAAAAACAAAAAAAAAAGAAAAGAAACTTTGTTTTTTTTTTTCATTCAAAAAAAAAATAGCTTTCAAATATCCGGTTCATTCAAATGGTTACGTATCAGTTCCAACAACAAATGGAAATCAATCATCATCATTTACACATTCATTTGGTTATTCAGCATTTGCACCAACATTACCAATACATTTTTCTCATAATCATCCTTCACTATATCATTTGGGTGATAGTCGAACAACACGTTTAAATGAAACAAATTATAAATCACCGTCAATTGCAACAATATCATCATCATCGTCATCATATCGACCTCTTTCTTCAAGTAAATGATAAAAACCTATTCACATTCAATTAGAATTAAATCAGCTTACATACTCAAGTTTCAAATTACTTTGCTTGAAAAGAGAAAAAGAAAGACAGATTTTTTTTTCTTTTCTTTTAAAAAGATTTAGCCGAGTGGAATAATAATAAAAAAAGGAGAAGAAGAAGAAGAAGAAGAAGCAAACGACTTTCTCGTTATCCACCCAGTCAACCTGTTATTGCTGTCAAAATCTATTTGAAACATCTTTTTTTTTTGTTCATACAGACCGAAAGTAATGGTTTCCGTTTTCACGAATCCCCTATCGACAGAAAGAAAGAAACCCGCTAGTCGTCGTTATGAGTTCATTATTATCGACACGCGAAACAAATTAAATCATGTCACGGAATCGCACTGTCAAAAGAGCTACTATATAGATACCCTTAAGGCAATGATTTCTTTTTTTAAATTAACTATACTTCGTCTACTTCTATAGAGATAGATCGGATAAGAATCTTTTTTGTTTTGTTTTGTTTTTTCTATAGATGAATTACGTCCGTTTACTATTGATGCTATGCTTAGTAATGCCAATAATAATGGAAAAAATCTTAATAAAGAAAATTCTCAACAACGAGGTATGTTATATATTGATTCATTAATAAATGATATTGATAACCTTCTCATATTTGTTATCAATTAGATCGATTAATAAAACCTATTGATCTTTCAACAACAGCTACTGATACATCTTCACCGACGACTAATGAACAAATATCATCATCTTTATCATCATCATCATCATCAACATTACCAACAGCAGCAGCAGCATTGAACTTTTTTCATATAAAAAATATGATTGAATTAACTGTTGAAAGTGCTCGTTTACGTGAAAAACAACTGGAAAATGAAATTGGTAAAAAAAAAAAAGAAAATTATTATTTTAATTTTATTTCTGTTCTTTTTTTTTTCTAGTTGATCTACGAAATGAATTAACTAAAGAACAAGATTGTCGACAAAAACTTGAACAAGATATTCTTGAATTACGACGTGTTAGAAGTATATACAAATAAGATTATTCTTTTTTTTAAAATAAATTAAATATACCTTTTTTTTCTGTTGTTAGATGTATTAGTAAAAAAATTAAAACGTCTTAATCGATCATCATCAACTACAGGTAACTGTTCTAACAGTAATGGTGATACGAAAAGTAAGAAATTTTCTTTTTTTAATCTATGAAAATAATTATTTTAATAATTAGATGAATCATCTTCATCACCAACAAAACCAATGCCAATTGAATCAATTTAATGTTTAACTTTAGCAGGAAAAAAAGGGACATAGTGATATTATTATCACCATGATATATTTGAACATCGAATCTCTGTTTTTTTTTTTGTCTTTTCTTTTCTTTGTCATTTTATCTGTATATGCACTTTTGTTTATTCATGAAAAAGCTCACTTAAACAAAACAAAAAAAAACAACTATCATACTTTTGTATATTTATGATTTAAATAAGAAGAATTATTTAGCATATAAACGATCACGTATTTGCAGAACTATATCTTTGATCATATTCAAATAAAAAAGAAAACATTGATATTTCAATTATCCATCAATCGTTTGATTAACAGACGAGAGAAGAAAATTAAATATTTCAGTCATAGTTAATTATTTCAATTATCAGTTCATGCACAGATATATAGTAGTGAACAAAAGTTTCCACCTCCATCTCAGCTGATCTCTTACAAAGAAAGTTATGATCGACGACACCGAATTTTTAGTCTGAGTATTATACCCTAAAAAAAAAGAATGCCTACAAAATATGACTCATTCTTGATATTTTTATATGTAGCTGACATTCCATCGACGATCTTTTTCACTCAAAAGATAAGTTCATTTGCTTGAATATTGATGTTTTTGGGCCCTTGGAACTAACAAGATTATCATCTATGTGTCATTTCTCTTTAGTGCAAGATTTGCTTGAGAAACTTAAAGTAGATAATAGAATGTCTAATCGTAGAGGAAGCTTCTCACAAAAAAGTTTGAATTCATTTCATTGAAATATCACTAAGTTATTGGCTTCCAAAGAAGGGTTGATAGCTTCTCTCCACAACAATGAGCATAGTCTTTAAAAGAATTGATGAATTTCAATGAAATTAGTAATGCAGATAGCTGAGACATAGCATTACAGATCGAGAAGTTGACTGACAGAGAATACTCTTCCTTTTCAAGGTTATGAGATTGATAATAACAACAAGTGCCATCTATCATGATTCTCATTGTAATTAAACAATAATGGCATCACAATACCAATGAGCTACATTTTTGATGAAGTATATGTACACAAATTTTCAGACCTCCAGCATATACAGTGATCAAGATCGGCTGAGATGGAGACTTTTATTCGTTACTGTATGTAGTTTTTAATACAATCCGAAGTAAAGCATTTCTGTAGTCGATCATGCATGCATTCAACCTTTATACTTTGTATGATTTTTGCTGTACATTGTGTCATGATGATCTAGTGAACAGTGAGTCGCTAGAAACTTGTTCGAACCTTGTTAGAGAGTTCGAGGTCTTGAGATGATATAAACGTTTTTGAATCTTTAGTCATTTCCGCAAAATCTCGATTTTGGCCTCCATCTTTTACCCGAGATAATTAAAGTGATGAGCTGATCTTCAGCTAGCTTTTATGAGTAGAATGGTTCTAGATGAAACCGTTTATCGTTCTTATGTTAATTCAAACTTCATTGCTGAAATTTGAAATCGGTTCGCACTGCATGTATATTAATCCATTGAGAGTTTTTTTATTACTTACTAGACATACACATTCAAAGTTATCATTTCCAATTGCGATAATCTCGAAAACGAAAAGTCAGAAAATACTAGTTCAAATATGAGAATGAAATTTCATGATCGAATTTATACCATTTGTTTTCCAATCTTCCACAGGACTTTCCAATTTCTTCGAGAAAGCCACCAAACAAAGGCAAATTTTTGTAGACTTGTTTTTTTCCCAAGCTTCGAAATAATAAAAACGATGACAAGCTATTTTTATTCATCAAAGCTCTATGAATAACTGATAATACATAATGAATCAGATAGATAATTAAGCGATAAATCCATAGCATCCTCTAAAAATATGTTGATACGTGTTGATAAAGTTCTCGTAGTAATGAATTTTATCATTCCTTTTATACTTCGATCATTTGATTGATTGAAACGTAGATAATTCGAGTTTCCGATAAGAACAACACGTTCTTTAGAGGAAGCAATAAACTTTCAAATGCGCTCATTTTGCTTTCCTCTTTCCCTTCTCTTCAGTACGGAGCTCGAAAGAAAAAATTTTTCTTCACTTGAACATCATTTTCTCAAAAGTATGATGTCTAAAATGCTTTAGTAGTAACTTATTATATAGCACATGAAACGTACTTCAAATGAATATATGTAGTTTTCATTGAGAAAAGATTTATTCGAAATAATTTAGCAAGAACTCAAGTGATTTTTTTTTGTCTGTATATACTGATTAATGTGTTCACATGTTGATAGTTGTGTAAATAAAAAATTGTTCGGATGTTTTTAATAATTATTCACTGTCACTCTCAACTAATTGACTACATTTGTGTTGAGTTAAATAATTTTAAGTTAGTATAAACAGGAGACATAGAAAATTTAGTGAAGCAATTGCTACATGTTGAAGTACTGTTGCACCGGTTATGTATGCATGTTGTAATATCATAAAAAAAAAATAACTTGAAATACAATAAGTATTCAAAGAAATAATATAGAGATGATAAGAAAAAAAACTATAGGAAGCTGAGTTTCTGTTAGACTTATAACTTGTTTTTTTATCATTATAAAAAAATATTTAATCCATCATCAATAAAATATATGGGCAAAATCATTCGTTACCGACATGACTTCGTAAAACTAAAATACATGTATCTCGAGATAATGAACTTTCCAAGAGTTATTTTTCTATATGTAATATATGTGTGCTTAGTTACTCTAGATAAACTGAAAAATCAGCACTAGAGATCTTTGTTCGAATGAATTATCTGTATAAAAAGAACCTAGCGTTAGCAATGTGACGAGGGTACGATTATACAAACGAAAAAATACTCTTATAACTGAATGTGAAATTCAAAATCAATTCCAAACAGTACAAATCCTTCTTCAGAGTCTCTAGATGATGGTAAAACAAAAGCTTTTGTTTCGGAACTTGACAAGATCTTCAGAAAATCAATTTTAAAGAGAAAGTTCTTTGAAGTTCGATGAAAATTTCACTATAGATGCAATTCATGCCGTAGAATCCATCTTGAAGCTTTCGGATTTTTTTTCTCGTATGTTTAGAGAAATTTTCGCTAATTACTTAATTTCAATTTATAGATGACTGAAAGAGCGAACATTTTTACATAAGTCTATGCTAAAAGAACTTATTCAATCAAAGTCAAATGAAAGATGTGCATATCCCGTTTCTAATTTTGTTTATCATAGAATTTCACGGTAATGTTTTAATAACATAACATCGGATAGATATGATAGTCCGAGAATAGTTTGAAAGTATTCAGATTTCAATTGATTATGCATAGAGAGTCAGAGAGAATGATGAGAAGCTTCTGTCGTTTTATTAATTCGCCGTTTTTTTTTTCTCTTATTATTCAGTTAAATTTATCGAAGAATGCTTTGAATAGTGGTTAAATTGACTGTTTTAAGAAATATTGGTCTAATTATATCAATGTTGCACAAATATACAAATTTTTTGAGTTCTTGTTGTACATGATTGTTTTTAAAATATATCTATACGTAAAATTTATTGAAGAAAGAAAAAGAAACGTCAGTTTTATTTTTATTTTTTTAACAGGTAGGTATATCGAATAAACGAGAAAAATTACTTTAGTTATTATGATTTTATGTTTATTTTTACTCCAATCAATTGGCAGACATCTGTTATTACTTTTCATGAAGAGGATTTAGATGTTTTTTCATATAGTAACACAAACACATTTAATATCTTTCTATCGGTGACATCTGTTGACACACGTTAGTCTATGGCTATAATTGACTTCCAGATGGAAACTGAACAGCAGCAGGTAAGTAACAACTATTCGTTCATTCGTTCTTATAACGATTTACTTGATTAATCAATAAAAAAAAAGATTATTTTTTCAATTATTCACATTATATACCTTTTTTTCCTTGTACAAATTCCTTTTCACCTGATATGATTAGTCGTCGTAGCGAAACTAATCTTTATTATCATCTTGATTAAGGCATTGATTCAGAGCTATTGTTACCTTGTCGATATATTTATTTACTTATTATCATTTATCTCCATATCTTTATACTAAATTTGAAGATTTTTCTCAATCCAAGTGAATTAGACTTGTTTCAATTTATATTAGAATTTCTAATCATTATTTCGATCTGAAATCTAATAATAATAATCAACAATATGAAACACTCGATTCATCAAACTCGATTATTTATTTTTACAGAATAATATTGTCCTTGTTTAGGTTCTGGTTGTTCTACATCAGTCGATGAAACAGATATTGAAAAACTTCATGAAGTAATTATAACAAATAATGTCCGTGAACAAAAAACAACATGAATAGTTTATTTTCCCTATAAGTTGTCTATTTCGATTAATTATTTTTGATATTATTATTCATATCTAGTAGAGAAATATAATTAATTCTTTTTATTCTAGATTAATTTAATTTATTCGAAAAAAAAAGATCATTTAACAATATGAATGAATTATCTAATGAATCAAATTCAAATGTTGAATCAACAACACCACCACCACCACCACCAACAACAACAACAACATTATCACCGGATGAAGTATGAATTTATTGAAATAATTATTTAAAATTTAGTCTTATTTAAATAAGCTTCGTCGTCGTCGTCTGGAAAAGTTTTCTACTGGATCAACAACAAAAACTCAAACTTCGACTAGTTCAAATGATATTAATGATAAACAAGTATCAACACAATTATCTAATGAACTTGCTAGTAATTATTTATCTACTAGATAGAAAAAATAAATAAACCTGTTCTTCTTTAGCATGTCAAATTGATTCTCAACAAACAAATGTAATTGATGATACAAATATGGATGTTGGAGAATTATCTACAACAGATATGATAGCAGCTAGTGGCGAACAAAGGTTTTCTTTTCTTTTTTGTTATTAGAATTTTTAATTAATTAACCAAATATTGTTTATTTGTTTGTTTTTAGATTATTAAAAAGTCAACATTCAACCGGTGATAAACGTTCTTATGATATTAATTCGAATAA